GTTTCTTGAGCAGCAAATCAGCATATTAGAATGATTTCTGAAGGATCATGTGACACTGAAGACTGGAGTAATGATGCTGAAAATTCAGCTTTGATCACAGAAATAAATTGCATTTAAAATTATATTCAAATAGAAAGCAGTTTTTTTAAATAGTAAAACTATTTCACAGTATTACTGCTTTTGCTGTAATTTGGATAAAATAAATACAGGCATGGTGAGCATAAGATAATTCTTTAAAAAACATTAAAAATCGTACTGTTCAAAAACTTTTAACTGGCAGTGTAATTATTCACGGGTTTTTTTTGAAGTGCCCACGCTAACAATATCGTGCATGTTCATTATCGTGATATATTGTAACACCGGCACATGTCTAGTGATAATCTTCTTTGCTTGTATTTCTTGGGGCATTTTCACAGCAATAGTGGTTTGGGTGATCCATTTGACACTTGTGTTTTCTCGGCAGGTCCTGTAGAGTCGATGGATCAGCCGGACTCGGATGCAAGATTGCTGGGTGGCTGTGAGCCGGACCACAGCCTCTCTCTTCCCAATGCCCACTCATCCGACCTTTCTAGCCCTACTGCCGACCACGCTGTTTCCTTACCGCTTGCAGAGGCTTTTCCCTTCATGTCTCAAGAACAGCTCCTCCAGCTTCTCTCCTCCAATGCCGGTCTGCCTTCCCTGTTACCGCCCTTTCTCGGCTCCCTGCCTTTAGGGGTCTGGACGAGCACCCAACCTTCGGTGCCCGGCGGTGCCCAAGCCCAGCCAACCAGTGCCATCCTAAACCAGGGCTCTCCTCTCAACGTCCTAAACCAAGGCGAGCTTCCTCTCAACCTCGTGAGCCTTTTAAATCCGCCAGGTTCTGCTGCAGCTGAAGCAGGGGAGGAAGGTGGTGAAAAACCCCCCGGGCTTCAAGCCCTCCTCATGGCTTCGTTGCTGCTCGGCCAGAATCCGGCTGCCATGTTGCCACTACCAGCGCTCAACCTGGAGCTTCCTACACTGCAGCAGCTCTTCACAGACGGAGTGTTCCTGGAGAAGACCCCCGCTCTGCTAGATTCGGTCCTGATGGGGCCGGGGCTCCTGGAGGCTCTACAAACTCTAGCACCCAGCACAGACGGCCAGTCGCTGCTTCTTTCCGCCCCTCTCACTCCACCCCCTCATGCCTTTCTGTCGCTCAACCCCGCTCTGTTGACCGCAGCTCTCGCCCAGACCGAACCCCTACCCAACCACACTCCATCCCCCCCGCCTCATTCTCAGGTAAACGCACCAGTTGCATGCTTCGCTGCATGTGCACATGCATGCTTCCAATTGATGCATCTGTTTACAGTGACAGGGTTTCCCAACCAGATGTTCTTCCCCTAGTGGTTAATGATGGAACTGCATCACATATGTGACCCTGGAGCACAAAAGCAGTCTTAAGTCGCTGGGGTATATTTGTAGCAATAGCCAACAATACATTGTATGGGTCAAAATGATTGATTTTTCTTTTATGCCAAAAATCATTAGGATATTAAGTAAAGATCATGTTTCATGAAGATATTTTGTAAATTTAGTACCGTAAATATATCAAAAATTCATTTTTGATTAGTGATATGCATTGCTAAGAACTTCATTTGGACAACTTTAAAGGTGATTTTCTTAATATTTAGATTTTTTTGCACCCTCAGATTCCAGATTTTAGTTGTATCTCAGCCAAATATTGTCCTATCCTAACAAACCAACCAAACCATGATTTATAAATTGTCAATTTCAAAAAATTGGTTTTGTGGTCCATGGTCACATTTGTGCATGTTTTATACTAGAGTGTGAATTTCATATAAGCTATAAAAATAAATGTCTGGGTTGGGGTTAATCTCAAAATCAAAAGGATTGGACGTTATATTCTTCTAACTGTGGCATTATTTTCATGACAGTTATGCGCATTTAAACTCCCAATCTCCATATTTTTAGCCACCTACTATAATGCATTTACTGTAATGCAAAACAAATAATGAAATACTATTTAAATTGTAATTTCCAAGACCTTGTGTCTGGCGCATGCATGCATGTTTTTTTTTTTTTTTTTTTGCATTTCATTGAGAATTTATTTTGAATTAAATTGTCATGAAATTGATGTCACATTGCAAAAAATCTTAATGCTAAAGGGATAATTCACCCAAAAATGTTAATTATCACCATTTACTCACCGTTATGTTGTTACAAACCCGTAACCCATTTTAGTTACTTGGACTTTCAATTGAGACACAGGTTAAAAAAAAATCTTAATTTGTGTTTTGAAAATGAACCAAAGTCTTATGGACTTGGAATGACGAGGGTGAACAAATGACAGAATTTTTTTTTTGGGTGAGCTAAGTTTTTAATAAAATTAGGCTTTATTTTATGTATGTGTTGTGAAATATGGGGACGTTTCTACACTCAGAATGTCCATGCAGAATTGCCTGAGCTAAATTATAGAGGTCAAATATCAGGGAAATTCACCTGACAAAGGTTGGGAGTCCTTGTATTAGGCGTTTGCCAGTGGAACATTGTTTTGATATCCAAGTACATCCATCTTGTGCAATACATATGTGAATCTGTGTGGCTGTAGGGGACTCTGTCCAGCCCAGCTCTAGTTTCTACCTCGGTGTCCTGCGGCCCTCTGGTGTCCAGCACGGGGCCCGAAGTGTGTGACCCTCTCCAAAGTCTTATGGACTTGGAATGACGAGGGTGAACAAATGACAATTTTTTTTTTGGCTGAGCTAAGTTTTTAATAAAATTAGGCTTTATTTTATGTATGTGTTGTGAAATATGGGGACGTTTCTACACTCAGAATGTCCATGCAGAATTGCCTGAGCTAAATTATAGAGGTCAAATATCAGGGAAATTCACCTGACAAAGGTTGGGAGTCCTTGTATTAGGCGTTTGCCAGTGGAACATTGTTTTGATATCCAAGTACATCCATCTTGTGCAATACATATGTGAATCTGTGTGGCTGTAGGGGACTCTGTCCAGCCCAGCTCTAGTTTCTACCTCGGTGTCCTGCGGCCCTCTGGTGTCCAGCACGGGGCCCGAAGTGTGTGACCCTCTGGCCGAGCAGGACAAGAACAACACCCAGACACCTCAATTCCTGCCGCCTCTGCTCGCCCACGGGGTTCTTGGTAAGTGGATCAGTGTAAAATGCATCTGAAAATGACCATTTTAAATGTGCCTTGCTTTGGAATAACGGTGTTATAATTATACAAATATATAGTATGTGATTACACTCAGTTCTTCTTTCAGTTAGTGTGACTTTACGGTAATTTTAATAGGGCTGGGACAATAAATCGATGCATCGCGAATCGAGAAATGATTCCGCATCGATTCTGAGATTTCCCGAAGGCATCGCGATTCATATTATATATTTTTAGATTATTTATGTTTGTTTGTAATATGTGTTTTTTCATTTGAATATTTTCAATAATGAAATTAGTGATGGATAAATAAGAATAATTTCAAATATTTGTGAATGTATCATTTTCCATTATAAAGCGGATAGTTCCGGTGCTTGATTCTGATTGGCTGAGCCGTGTTCGAAGCTGTTGTAAATGACTCTACAAAGTAACATACACCTTTGTTTACGTTGAATCGATTCTGAGCTTAGTTTTTAACAGCAGATGGCACTGCGTGCTTTAGAAATAGCTGTATTTTGCTTGCTTTCCAGTTCCTTACGCACTATTTGAACCTAAAATAATAATTCATAAAGTTCGAAAAGGTTGAATTACAAGAATGTTCACAGTGGGCTGTGTTTACGCTAATCTCGCATCAAGAAAGCATAAAAGCAGATGTGCAAGTATATTTAACCCCTTACATGACTCACGCGCTAGCGCTCTTCTTCGTGAGCGTTTGAGTGTGCGGTTAAAAACTATCCTAGAGCGCCATCTGCTGTTAAAAACTAAGCTCGGAATCGATTCGAGAGAGAATCCCGATGCATTCAGAAAATCTCAGAATTGATGCAGAATCATGACGCATCGATTTATTGTCCAAGCCCTAAATTTTAAGTCTTTAATGAACCCAAGAGGGCTATTGTTTCTTCCGATAGGGACTTTAATAATATTGTATTTTGAGTTTGCATTTGAAATTTGGCGGACATTGTATATTTGTGTACGCAGTGTTGTTTTAGTACTGATATACTATTAAAGTTTTTGTTAATATTTTGAATTAGATTTTCATTTTAATTTTACAGTTTAGTAATTTGTCGTTTTTGTTATCATGTTTTTTTGTTTTTAAATGGGTCTAGTTTTTACTACGTTAAGTGCTTTTTGCAACTAGGTGTTTTTTAT